TTATAAAGTGGTATTAACACTTCATGTGATCTTGATTCTATCCCTCTGTTTATGCAGCCTAGAATTGTGCTGGCTTTTTTGCTTTTTTCTGCTGCACACTGCTGGCTCATATTTAAATGGTTGTCCACTAGGACTCCAAGATCCCTTTCACAATCACTACTGTGGTACCTGTGCATTTCATTTTTCTTGCCTAAATGTAGAATCTTATTCTTTTCACCACTGAATTTCATTTTATTAGATAGTGCCCAATGTTAAAGTTTGTCAAGATCCTTCTGTATCTTAAGTCTGTCTTCAGGAGTGTTGGCTATGTCTGCCAGCTTGGTGTCATCTTCAAATTTGATGAGTTCCCCATTTATTCCCTCATCCAAATCATTGATGAAGATGTTGAAGGTACTGGGCCTAAAACAGACCCTTGGGGTACTCCACTGTATACTTCCCTTAAAAAGATAAGAACAGCTGAGATAACTTATCAGATGGTACTGAACAAAGAAGAATTACCTTTTAGATTGGCAGATGAGAGGTAAATTAAACATTTTCATGGAGTTCTATCCAAAACAAAAAAAAACTTATGATATAAAAGGAATACAGAGATAATAATTTGGGTAGAAAGGGCATATATAGACTGACTGTTACTTTGAGAAATGTAGAATCACAAAACCACAACAATGTAAATTGAAATTCCCTGACACGGATTTTTAACATTTAATGCTAAATTAGGAGATCCATGAATGTTGCTAACAAAAATACATTCAGATTTCCTGGACTAGGAAAAATATAGTTGTCCTTAAAAAAATATGTGATGTGAGGAGGATATTTCCTTTTTATCTGTTGAAGAGTGTAATTGGAAGGAAGAGGAGAAAGAAAATGTAGGTGCAACAGAACATCCACTGGTATTATTACAAGAAAGAGTGTCATTGGTCTTCATAGACATCTCTGGGTCTTTATTAGAAGACATACAGCCAAATTTGGCAGAGAGTACAGCAAATAATTCCCTTTCTAGGAAGCAAGAGGTATAGTGGAGGAAAACACCTGCTATGGAGTGGAAGTCGTTTCAGAAGAAAAGCCTGTGGAAAACAGAACAAAGATGAGGGAGGCAGAGCTGCTAAGAAATGGTATGGAGTGGTATAGAGAGATCATCAGTGGTGGTATTCAGTCAGTTCTGACAGGTTCAGGGGAACTGGAAGTAGCGACCTGCGGGTAGGCCCCAGCTCTATGTCTTTTATGTTCTGAGGGACACAGACTGAGGAGACCGGTTGGCAATAAAAGGAACTTTTATTAACAGACTAGAACAGGCAACAGAACAAGCCAACCCCCTGCTGGCCAGGACACAACAATGTCATCCTATTTAGCCACGTTTTGTACACCATGCGCATGCATACAAGCTGTGTGTGTGAACAAAGCGCATGTGCGGAAGGCCGCACACATGTATGGAAGGCGCACACGCTCACAGTTTCTGTGCACGGAGAACTGGTGGTAAAATTACGTGAAACCCACTTCTGGAGAGCATCCATGTACATAAAACTAACAGTTGAACCACTGAAGAAACTGTAAGGGATGACATTGGTAGGGAAACAAGTGGGTGGCAAGGAAGCAGTGAGGAAGTTCAGGGAAAGGGAAATGCCATAGATAGCTCTTCACTTCAATGATCCTCCCCTCCCCCAACAAGGGACGTTTTCAAACAATCACAAAAGTACAATTAAACAAATCTTTAAATAATTTATTTTGACTGCTGAATTTTCCTTCATTGTATTTCCATTCTGTATTAAGAAGAAGGATTTTTTTTTAAAAAAAGGAGAATGAAATAAAGAGCAAATTATTATACTGGCAATGTGCAACTTTCCAACATTACATTTTTTGAAATAACATAAATATTTAAATACGCCTTCACATTTTACAAAGCTCACAAAATCATACACCGAAATTTGAACAGCGAAGGACTGTGACAATAGCAGTGTTTCTCATAATGGGGATTACATACACATGCAAAATGCAAGCAGTTGATGTACATGCTCCCCCCCCCCCTAATTTTCAGAGAAAGAAAACAAAAGATGCATGAGGGCTTTGGGAAAAATGGAAGATAAATTGCAGCGCTCCAAATACATTCTTGTTTGTTCTCGTGTGATTACTCAGAACAATATGCAGTTATGGCAGATAATGGCTCGAGATTGCAAACTTACACTGTGGAAATAAGTAGGATTTCACAGGAGTGGCCACCTTACAAACAACACAGAGCCTATCCCCCCTCCTCACTATTAGATATATCCACAGTCAGATACAACTGAGGACTGTAGGGATGTGTGAATGTGGGAAAGCAAAAACAAAAAACAACCCTGTCTACTTTGGGAACCTCATAGTCCAGAAGTTAACACTTAATTGTAAGGACACAGAGGCCCACAGAAGATCCTTCTTATTTCTTAGTAAATTCTAAAGGATTGTAACAGTTCAGCAAACTTTTAATTAACTAGTAGAGGTGAGACATGAAGAGAAAGCAGATTTGTTATATCATCTACAATACAGGAAGACTGTATTGTAAAAAAGACTTTTGCTCTTTTCTCTCAATAAACACAGAGTAGGTTGTTTCTAATCTATCAGTATGCTTCCATGTCAATCAATATACATGCATATTTAGGAACCTTTATTTTTCTCATGATCTCCCTCCCCCACTTTCCCTTCTCAAATGTTATACTTAAAAATTACCTATGCTCTTTCACATTCTAAATTACAAGAGGTTTAGCAACTACACCCTCATTCAAACCACACAGAGTAGTCAATGGAAAAACACCAGTCAGCCTTCCAAGGCCAAATTTTATGGGTTTATAGCTGCTCTACTTGCATAAAACTTTCATTTAGAAACATTGCCCCCCCAAAAACCCCACCCTTACATAAAACAAATGTAGCAGAAGCCACCAATTTTTAAAAAGGACAAGCAAGCAAAAATGGTAAAAAGTTCTCCCACAACTTCCTAATATTTTGTTCAATCTTAGCTCTACCATATCAGCATTTTCAGAGTAATCACACACACAGTTTTTATGACTGTTGTAGAAAGCTGTTCATTACAAATTTTTGGCAGGTTTCATTATACACAGAATGCTCACAATTTAGACAGAAGGCAAGAGACATATTAGCAGAAAAGCATGCAAAGAGCAGCATTATTTATTTTTTTCATACAAGTATTATTCAATATCAAACATAATCCAAAATATTTTTGAGAAAAGAAAAGAGGTTTTGTAGTCAAGTATAAAATGTTTTGCCATTCACCATGACGGAAGCAACCTCCTTTACTATCCCAGGATTAACTTTCTCGACCTGCGTAGTTCTACATTTACACACACACACACACACACACACACACACACACACACACGTATCTACATATGCACAAAAGAAATCAGCTTATTGTTTCCCTCCAAAGTCACCTTTTTCACAAGACTGAAGAAGATCAATTTTTATGACTGTTGTAGAAAGCTGTAGCAAGACAATTAAGTGTTTTGAACATAGCACCATTCCTTTTTTCCCCCCTTTTGCAAGGCAAAAAAAGCATTTGCTATCCATATATTTGTTTGAACTGATAGCACTCGTTGCAATAGCCATTGCACTTGTTATTACCATAGTGATCACAGGCAGGGGCTCGGCAACGCTGTTTGGGAAGTTCATCAGCTGGAGGTTCAACCTGAGGTGTTCCAGACTGTCTCTGTTGGCTGACACGCAAGCAGTCTTGACAGACCTCTGCACTCCGGGAAGCTAAATTATTTCTACACGAAACTTTAGCACATTTGCGTTTTTGAGAGCGTGCAGTTTTCTGGTGTAAATCTTGATGTTGTCCCATTTGCTGTAAAAATTAAAAGCATCTTTTAAATGGAAAGCAGTTAAAGGACTCTCCTTCAATAAACCTGTTGCATTTACATTAGACTTTGTTAACTACCATGAATATAAGAATACTTAACAAAATTTATGTGGAAGCTGAATATTTTTTAATCATTCATTTTTTAAAAAAGAAAGAAATACACTTGATTTCCTTGAAAAGTTAACGACTAAAACATGGAGAATGACTGCATAACTGCCTGCATGTGAAACAGATTAATTTGGCATATGGCTAATGTAAAACATTGTGGTAAACATCAGCTTACCTTTCCTCCCAGCGCAAATGACTACTTCCTTACCCATGTTATTATGATCTAATCCCCATCAATCTACTGACTACCAGGATGGTGTAATATCAAAATGACCCATTATGGAAAGAAACCTTTATCAAGCAATATTTTTTGCTAATAAACAAAAGCAGAAAGCTTTCTTCCTCCTTTGCAAAGAAGTGGGAAAGCATTTATCATTTTACACCATCTTCCAAGAATCCTCTACAATAAACACGTAAATTGAGTAGAAGGCAATATTTTGCTGATTCTTTCATGGAATCATATAGACTGTCTAGGAAGATAAGTATAAGATAACATCGGGAAGAATGAGCTGCATTTGCATGCTGACCTCTGATTGTCTCACTATTTTGTCTTCAGTCCTTCTGGCTTCATGGAGCCGCTTGCTCTGTGCTTCAATAAAACATTTCTGGCAGTACCCCTCAAGCATGGTGCTCCCTATTGTGCCACATTCTTGGCCCGGGCAGGAAACGGTATTTTGATAGACAGCAGCTGAGATTCCAGGATGCTCCAAAACAGGAGACGTCACAGGAGACCTTCGCTGATGAAGCAGGGGGGCCTCTATAATAAAAGGAGAACAGGAGAAAAACAATCACTCTAATGTTAACTCTGAGGAGAGAATGATAAAAGGGCCAAGTTATCTGTTTTACTTCCCTCATTCTACAACTCTGGTATGTATTCAGAAGAAAAGCTGAGGCGTATAATTTAGGAAAGCTATTTTTAAAAACTCCCTGGGCCTTTTTGGTAATTGCTTAAGAAGCATGTGATGTTTATTTTTCCTGGCAATGAAATACACGAGGAAAGACAGGTATCAACTTTCTACTTTTACTACACTGTAAAATATTCTACTATTTATATCTACTAAACTCACAATTGCTATGTATTTCAATTCCAGATGATTTTCCAAATCAGAAAATAATGTGAAAATCTAAAGTTCCCCAGTAACAAAAATAAACAGATGTAGTTAAGGTTCTTCTGTGTATGTCAGCAAAATATGAAAACAGCCGTCCAATTATTATTATGGTAAATGACTAATGCAAGCTGAGCAAATTCTACTGTGGCTGCATGTGCACAATACAACACTTCAAAGGTTTCAGAGCTCTGTGCTACACTTGATCTTAGTCAAAAGGCTATTTTGTTATACTCCATTTGCATTTATCGGGTGTTCTCTTGCAAATTCAAAATTCAGTCCCTCCCAATTGATTAAGAAAGAGGAAGATAGAATCAAATGATATTCTTACTTGCCTCTATTTTCTTGATACTCGAAGTAACACAGGGTACAAAAGCCTTCATTCTGGAGAGTCCCAAAAAATTTACAGCCGGGCTTCCTGCATTTATTGTTTCTCGTCCTTGGTTCTGTTCTTTGGGGCTGAACATAGGGTGGCGCTTCCACCTTATTGCTGTTGGTTACTGTGTGACAGGAATGCTGCAAAAAACCTTGTGATATAGGAATAGGATCAGAACTGGACCTCTGATGGGTGGAAGGCATGGTGCCGGAGCCGGCGTTTGAGGAATGGTCTATAGTCCGTTTGAAGCAAGTGCTACACATCCCATTGAAGGTTCTGTTGGTGTCCTTAAGGCAGGATGTGCAAGTCACACAATTCAAATGCTGTGGGTCACTTGGAGTATTGCAAGGATTGACCTCTGCACAGTTGTAACAACGTTCACAAAGCCCATTGTATTGCACATTCAGTGTAAAAGGGCAGCCTGGGGTCCTGCACTTCATAGCAGTTGTTTCACTGTATAGAAAAAGACTTGGAGCTGTGGGAGGTGCAGAACGAGGTTCTGAGCTGGAATTTTCAGAAGTCCAGGCAGGAAGGTGGTGGCGTTCATCCTTTGGGTAACTGGACCTATTTCCCCGGGGCTTCTCTGAGCCTGACCAGAAGTGCTGCCTCTTTACCAAATTTGCCTTTTGTCTCTGTTCTGAGCACTCATGGCAGAATGGCTGGGTATTCACAGACATGTAGAAAGGGCAGTTGGGAGTTTCACATTTTGCCTCCATAAGCGATAGCTGGGATAACTGCAATGCCAGTCCGTTCCTCGCACCTGTTTCCTTCCCAATAAATTCACTGTTTTCTTTCCACCTCTTGTACTCATGTTGCACCAACTGAAAGTAATCTTCCACCAGGTTAATCTCTTTGGGCAAGTTACCTTCATCCAACCTTGAAAAAAGCAAAGGGAGAAGGAATTAATATCACTGGAGGGAGAAAAGGCAATGCTCTTACACAAGCTGAGAAGAAAGTTTGAAGAATTGTGATTTATATAATCAAGTATAGCATTACAACTGAACATACAATACAATAGCAGTAGACTTATATACCGCTTCATAGGCCTTTCAGGCCTCTCTAAGCAGTTTACAGAGAGTCAGCATATTGCCCCCAACAATCTGGGTCCTCATTTTACCCACCTCGGAAGGATGGAAGGCTGAGTCAACCCTGAGCCGGTGAGATTTGAACCGCTGACCTGCTGATCTAGCAGTAGCCTGCAGTGCTGCATTTAACCACTGCGCCACCTTGGCTCTACACTACACTACACTACACTACACTACACTAATAATATATTATGGAAGGAAGCGGATTTTTTTTTAAAAAAAGATGAAATTACCAGGAAGAGTTTCATGCATACTTGTGGAAAGAGTTGATAATGACATTAATGCCTCTTTTAAGACATTACATTAAGACATTTTTATTACATCATGGACCCAGTTGTAAGGTCCAGGCCCCCACTTCTCATTCCAATTAGATTTCTTCCCTATTAAACAATATGACTTCTCACTCACTACATAGTTTTGTTTGAAAACAATTCTAAATATTACAACAAAAGAAAGTAGTCAAAACACTAACTTAGCTGGAATACCAACTATGTCCCCCCTTTCTGGTTCAAGATACCTTGAGCCTTGTTATGTTTTATTTATTTCCACAGAAACATTCAGCCTTGATTTCTGCAATGCTTTGTATAATACAATTATGTGGGGATGACCTTGGGAGATAGCTCAGAGACACAGCCAAGGAAACGATCAGATAACAAAGGCAGCTGAGATGGCATGAGAACACTTTTTCTGCCTGATCTACAAGGCCAATAATATACTATTCAGGAACTTTAACTTAACACAGTTTCAGGAACAGGAGTGATTTACTCCATTGAAGGAAATATGCAGTTGTAAAGATGTTGCAGCAAACAATGGACTCTAGACAAGATGTTTTAATCAACATGCAGGACATTTTAAATTGCTGCTACCTATCTTGCTGGAGGGCGCTTGGAAAGACACCGCGTACAATATTATTTGGAGGGCATAAGGACATGCTTTACATGGAACTCTTACTGCTCTCCAAGGATTAAATACAAATTATAGTTTTTGATCTGCTTGTGGATCAGTTGATTTGCATTTTCCTCCCAAATTCTGTTCATAGTTGTTCCAAATTTGGGAAGTGATTTCATGTCATCCCAGAAGACTAACAGAAAAAAGGCAGATTCAACAATCTAATCATGGGAACCTGAGGAGCATTATGGTTTACAACATCGGAGCGAATGGCACTAAGCTTCCATAAGGTAAACCTTAATTGAACTTGCTGCTTAGCCATGATAGTGATTGACTAGAGATGCTTAGAAAATTCTCCAACAGTTAAAAGGGAACAGCAGAACTTGTGAGTTTGCTATTCAAATATTTTGTGCTGCAGCTATGCCCCCGCTCCCTGGCTGTAGCAGTGGTACTTCCCTGTCTTCATATACTGATATCTGAACAAAGAATAGGTCCACATCTCACTTTACAAAAGGTTTGCTCTCCATGTAGACATTGGTATGAATGAACCACTTTTTCTCATTGGTGGCAAGGAATTCTTGCAGGTAAGCATGACAGCTGGGCACACAGACTCCATCAATAATAAGAATGAAAGACTACTCCCACTTTTCCTTGATTTTCCTTCCTCCCCACTGTATACCCTCATACACAAGGGAAAAAGAAAGGAATAGCATATGAATATCCTTATTGCTCCTCAGATAGATGAATCTCAGAGAGCAAAATAAAATGGTTTCATCTTGGATTGTCATCTTTGCAGGAAGAAGGATGACAAAAAAAGCTGTAGAGAATATCTTAAAAAAAATAATATATGAGTTCCTGGTTGAAGATCAGGAAAAGGATCTATGTTCACTATTTTTTGAATCTTCCTGAACTAATATGTATGTTTTGCTTAACATTAACATTGTACATCTTGCAAAAGAGTATTTAAGAATACTTTAAAAATATTATAAAATAATAATAATAATGTTGGAAGGGGACAAGACTTATACTAACTTTGCAGCATTAATGAGATGTGTTGTCCCTGGGTCCCATCCTTGTACAGGAATTTCAATCACCATGAGATAGTCTCTTATCAGTTTTTCTTTCTCTCTTTCTTCAGCGTCAGTTAAAAAATGCACTTTCAAGTCTTCAAATCTCCCTCTTTCACAACTGACTAAAGGAACTGCCTTGATTTCTACAGAAAGAAATAAGAAAAAGGGAATGAATCAAATAGGATAGAGAAGAGCACAATACAGCAGAAGTCACTCACAGATCAAGTTTGGCAATTTTTATTCAAATAACCAGTAATATAAACAAAAGTCTAGTAATGGCATTAATGAGGTATAAGCAAATGATGAAAAATATTAGGAATTCTAAACCAGGCAAATAACCTGTCTAAAGTGACCATAACAATGCAAAATAGTTTGGGGCTGTCAGCTTGGATGACAGAGGGAACAGGGAAAATGGAAGCACAATATACTCTGGTATTCAAATACATACCTGGCCCACTATCCTTCAGAACAACCAAAGGAGTGAAGTGCATACTGTCGTAAGCAAGAATGATAGGATATCGAAAACAGTTGTCTGCTGACCAATGGAGAGGCAGATAAATTCCACCAATGTTCAGAGGGGAAAAGCTGGAACCTGACTGCAAACTTCTGAGCATTTTATCTATAAGACAAGATAAACAGGTTGAGTTAGTATTAGGCTCCTCTATTTTAATTTCTAAAGATTCATAAGTACATAAACAACTCAGTGTGACAACAACTTAACACTAGTTGATTTCAGGAGAATGAAGACTGGAAAGTGAGTATAGTGTAAATGGCTGGATGGTGGATTTTTTTTAATGCCTAGTTTGGAACAGATATATAATAATTCTAATGTTTTCTATAGGAAGCCATGATGGGGTTTTTTTTAACCATCAAAGGGAATTCTAAAAGTTGGGAAAAAGAAGCCTGGGAGTCACCTCTGGCAACCCTGCCCTAAAACCTGGATTGCACATTGTACCAAATTACAACAGCACAATGAATGAATATGGGACGGAGGGAAGAATTGCTTTGATCCTTTAATGAATGAATATTGGAAAAGAGGGAAAGTTTGGGGTCAAATTATGAAATACCTATTGTCCTTCTTAGGCAATTATTACACGGAGAGAAGATAACACATACACACAAATGTGAGCACATAAAATGGGTCTTAGAAGTACTGCTATTATGCCCATCAATTCTTACCTGCAACAACTATGATGGGGCGCCTTAAGACGTTAGCAAGGACAAATATATGGATTTCTTCCAGACAGGTATACTGAAGGCCTGTGTGGGCAACTGATGTTTCTGCAGATGCCATTTTAATAAGATTGTCCCATTCATCATCCCAGTTCTAATGTAGAAAAATAAGATGCATTAGGAATCATCATGCAATGCTGAAGCCCTCGCACACCAGAAATACAGTTAAATGCTTCTCTTCTGCTACAAATCAATGTATTTTATAGCAAGTCATGTTGAAAGATTGAAGTATTGGTAAATGCATTATTGAGGGGGGATCATTCTTTGTTTATAAACAGAACTAATCAAGTGGTCATTTTTACTCCCAATCCCAATCATTCTTCTAGAAATATGTTCTAAACATGAGTCATCTTTGGTTTTATTGTTTTTTAATAGCATTCCTCCACACCACCTTATTTTCTATTCTATGCATGTCCCAACAGGATGAATGGGTCTACCCCTATGGCTACCCTATGTACCAGCATGACATGATGGTGAAGAAATGTGTCATGCGTAAGGGTACCAGCACACAACAATCTGGGCAAGAGGTAAGCAGAGGCATGCTATTCTCTTGTTGCTTGGATCAAGGTATTTCAGCGATGAGGAAAGGAACCTAATTAGCAAAATATTTTTAGCACTTGGTATTTCTACATCGATTTCCAGTTGAACAAACAATCAGACTAGTGACTACTTATAAGGATGACAATTCAGGATTGAACTTCATTCTGTCTGCTAGGGGAGGACGGGACAGCTCAGCTAAGCTACTGCTTCTAATTAGGCAAACTAGTGATAAAGAAGAGGAAATGACTAGATATTTTTAGGGAGATTTGCATGGATAGCCATCAGCAATCTGTATAGTGAAGCTAAAAAATGGATGAATATTCAACTGGCACAGACTCTGTGATGGAATAGGTATGACCACACTGCATATTCCCAAGAGGCAGGAATTCAAAAAAATAAACATATAATTGTTTTCATTTCTACTACTGCAGTAATGGTGTATTTTTCTCCATAATAGGAAAAACAGACAAATGCCAACTTTGTAAGATGTGGGTGGTCCGTGGAAATAACCCAAATTGGGGGAGGTTACTTAGTCTGGAAACTCCACAAGAGTGAAACTCTTTCTTAATGAATTGAGCAATCCAGTAAAGTTATAGGATTAAGATGTTTTAACTGACGGATGGCTCCACAATTTTTACTTTCTTAATTGTGTCCCATCGTGTGTAATTACCACAAGGAATCACAACCCAAAGATATAAAGATTTGAAACATTCTTCCCTTACATAAACTGGATTTCCTTACCCTGGTATCATAGCAGAGTCCTGTTGCCACAAATTCCTGTGATTTCAGGGTTTCTCGCTGCCAGCGCAGTTTAAAATTGCGTGTATCGGCTTCTTTAAGTACACTAAACAATGTTTTTCTCAGAAGCAGGTCAACGTCTTGGACACCCCACATATACTGGGAAGCAGCGTGCATGAGACAATTTCCATCTCCTGCAGAAAAATAAACAATTAAGATACTCAAATATACATTACAAATCACAAATAAAAGAATATCAATATATGTAATGACAATATTGAACAAGGGACTCTAATGGGATGCTGTAGCGTGCAGCAAAACTGTAACAGGGTCCTTGCTTTTTCCTTTGATGTACACAAATCCTGGTTGATAAGCACACACAGTGAGAGAGGCAGCTATTAATCTGAATTATCAGGCAAAAGTGTATGTGGATGCTGATATAAGCATTAGCTTTCCAAGCATTAATTTATTTTAACATATTACATCTCCTTGTTTCATATGTATTTATCAAGATCTGAAAATTAATTTGGGGGCACTTTTTAATGCCTGTTTATTTTGTTACTATATAAAACTATGCTATAAAAAAATCCTAGGTGTCATTTTGTATTTCTTCATATTATGGCTTAGATAATAAGAGGAAGGTTTATAACCATTTTTAAAGTACTAAGTTCAGTAATAAATAAACGAATAGATTTTTCAAGAACTTAGTCTGGTCGTGTGTCTCCCCCCCGTCCCCCATTCCTTGCTTGTTCAACTTAGGACAATTCACGGAAGGCATTTTTAGTGGTGTAGTAAGCTTATTAAGCTTGTTTTTTCAGTAACTATGTAAAAGGGTTTAAATACAAGAGTAGATAAAAACAAATGAATGGCATGAAATGCTGATTTATAGGCTTCTGGCTCTGTAAAGCAAAAAAATATGGCATAAAGATAGGACAATTATTATTACATCCTTCAAAAAAATTCCCTGTGCAAAATCTAGAGCAAAGATAAGAAGTTTTTTCCCTGTGTATGCTTGCTTTCAGTTCTTTATTGAGAACTACCAGTCCAAAATTCCCTAAGCAACATTTGGAATTCCCCAGTGTTAAGATATTTGACTAGCAATTGAGTAACAGCTATTGTACTTCTTGTTCTGATGTACAGACATTTGAACTGTGAAGTACGCACTGGACTTTCCAAGTGGGTGTGGTTAGGTTATGCTGGAATGCCTATTCATTAGAGAAGCGAAATTACTAGTTAGTAGATCTTGGAATCTTTTAAAATGGCATGCTTTCCTTCAGTCATTGTCTTTTAGATTAACAAGTGTGTGTGAGGTATGTAGCAGCACTCCCATTTCTATTCTGCACTTCATTTATTAGAACCAACTTTACTACAACTGTGGGTGCATTTATTTATTTTTTGTTCTCAAAATGAATAATACAATTTCCATGCAATAAAATGCATATAGTCCTGTAAGAATGGCAATTTATGTTTATACTAAAGGTGCAAAAATCTCTTTTACAAATCCTGTCATTATCTCCACAGACAAGAAAATAAATGTTCATGCCCTTATAGAACCCTTCATATGTTCAGAGTCTTCAGACATTTTCTGATTCCCCTATCACCTACATTCTCAATATTCCCCATTCCAAATGCACTGAAATATGTCCCGTATGTTTTGCTTCTGATGTGAGGCTGCCAATGGTCAGAAAAATAGTCATGGTAGGCATCGCAGGGTTAATGCACTCCAAACATGGACTACAAGTTCCATTTCTCCAACTGAGGGCCAGTTTTGTCTAATAGACCGCCTAAAGGCATTAGTTGAGAAGGAGGCCCCTTGGAGAGTCAACTGAAAGCGTAGGAGCTAAGAACAATGTGACTGTAGGGCAGCACTATCCATGGAAGAGGGAGTTAGGCCAAAGCAGGCAAGATTGCAAACATAATGTCACACTCTAAACTCCGCCTTTTTACATGTGTCAATGGTGAATACGCATTCAACAGGACACTACTATGGTTTCCATCTTAGCTGTTTTGACACCACGCCTACACTCTACAGAGACTGCAATGCACAACTCCTTGAAATAAAAATTCAATGTAGAAACCTGGAGGAATGTAGGCAAGTGACAGAAAGATTTCTATATTGGAATACGGTAGCCAATGAAAAGAGAGTTGCCTTTATCTGAGATGAATCTGCCAGTTTTAGCACTCTCTCTAAAAATGAACCTTTTAAAATTTCTTTTTCTAGATTCATCACAGCACACAGTCTTAATAACCCGTGACCAATTTATTTTATAAAACTTGAAGGGCCCTGATTCTCTAAGTAAGACTATAGTAGAGCTAGATAAGTCAACAACAGCAAGATAATTTTGGGACAAAAATTGGGAATTTGGGACAAAAATGTTGATTATAGACATTTTAGGAAATGCAAACACGAAGCTAGGTGAGCAAAATACAAATACTCTTTTCATGTATTTATTTGCGCATATATTTTTCAAATACTGTCTAGTTCAAACCACTTCCTATGTAATGTTTTAGCCACTTACTAATTGGAAATACAGCTAAAGTTTAGAGAGATTATACTGGAAACACTGAAACTGAGAAAGATATGAGAACACCAATGAAGTTTTCTGACAAAGCATTGATCTGAAATTTGTATTACTTCACAAAAGGCATTGTCTTACTATTTTTGCCCAAAGATACATTTGTTTCAATTAATCCACCTCGTTAAATCTGAACAGCTCTGGGTGGCACCATGAATAATAATCAAACTAACAATTGTAAATTACGATAGCCTATATTTTTGCCTATATTTTTGCCTATATTTGGCATGATTGTGGGGGAACTCACGGTACCTGTGGCTCTAACAAACCTATGATTTTGAGCATAACACTGGATTTCTAAGAAATTAATATAACTTATTCTTAGGAGCCCATTTTATATTAGACATGTATTTCAATTTTAAAAAGAAGAGGAGAAAACAGCTCATTTATGTTTTTTTAAAATGTACTTTCATTTAGACTGGGCTCATTCAAGGTCCATTGTTGGAATAATTATAGTAAATGGTATCAGTTAGCCACTACTGATTCATCTGGTACCCTTCAGATGCACTGGACCAACCATATGAATAGCGACATTTGGGAAGAAACTAACATTTGGGAAGGAACGGAATTAAAAATTCTAGGCATGTTACTTTTATACTGCCAGAACAATTTCAAATTACAGTTATACAATGAACCTGACTTACCATTAGTCTTCAGTGGCATAAGTTTTTTAACTTCTCGACACCAGTTTAACTTCTTTTGGCGTTCCAGTGAGTTTTGAGTTGCTTGGTCAATTAGAGATTTTTGAAGAAGCTTCTGAAAAGGTGGGCAAAAATGACACATCCTGAACATCTCTATGGTGTATCTATGCATAGTTTTAAAATGCTGGATAATTCCATTGTTGTATTTGACAAGGTCTTCAGACATCAGTTGTCTTATCTTCACAGCTTTCAGCATGTTGCTCGAATATAAATCTTGAGGAATGATCTGTGATCCAGCCATTCTGTAAGAAGAAACCTACAAGAAAATGACACTAGTTATTCATGGCTTGATTTACCTCAAAAATGTGCCTTAAATGTTCTTTCTAATGCAGGCATGTAAAAAGCAGTATTATAAGTCACTTTTAAATATTTGCATCTTCATGGGGTTTATCATGAATTTTAAGCAAACACTTGCTGTGGGAAAAGAAATCTGTACCTAAGGGATATCCTTAGATGATGTCAATTCTAGAGATACTACGGTTGAGTGTACCTAACACAGCAGAACTGAGGAGCCATAATTATTCAGCTGTAAATCTTTCTGATGACAATGAATTTCCTTTTAGTTTAGAATCCACCCCCCTATATATTTTTTCCATTCCATATTCTCCCTCACACAGTCTGGTGACCTTGGGGAATTTTTTATTTTTTAGTAGCACATGGCATAGCTTGAATTGCCCATCTTTAATTATATATTGCAGTCTGAAACATTATTAGGGTGGCATGAGTAATATTGTCCACTATTTGAATAACCAGAACAATTTTAAAGAATACAGGTAGTCCTCAACCTACAACAGTTAATTTAATGACTATTCGAAATTACAATAGCACTGAAAAAGTGACTTATGGCCATTTTTCACACTTATGACCCTGGCAGAATCGCCATGGTCACGTGATTTATATTTGGATGCTTGACAACTGGTCCATATTTATGATGGTTGCAGTGTCCTGTGGTCATGTGATCACCTTTTGTGACCTTCTGACAAGCAAAGCCAATGGGGAAGTCAGATTCACTTAACAACCCTGTTGCTAATTTAACAATTTCACATTAACAAATGTGACAAAAAAGTCATAAATTGGGGCACAACTCATTTAACAAATTTCTCACTTAGCAACATAAATGTTGGGCTCAATTATGGTCATAAGTTCAGGATTACCTGTATTCCAAATCATCATCTTAAAAGACTCCTTTTCCACAGATTATTAAAATCTGATATTTCATTGAAATGCAGTGGTCTCACATTTGCTCTGTTCAGCAACACTAAGACTGGAAAAATCTGTCCATAAAAGGAAATATTTACAACTGGTTTTTCTCTAGGATTTTCCTCCTTAGTTTCAAGACTGATATTTTGATATTTTAATGCTATGCATGAATCTTAGAAACTCAGTGAGCTATACTTCAGATATTTTAAAATTCCCAGAATCTTCTTGTAAAAAATGTGGGGTTTTTTACAAGCAAAGTTAGCTCTCATCATAACAAAATCAAATCAAAAACAGACATTGTAAGCAACAGTGATGTGGCCATTATTTGTCCTAAAGTAAATAAGCATCAAAAGATCCTGAATGGTACAGAAGATATATGTCTTACAAAAGAAAATATTTTATAAGGGAAACTGTTTAGAGCTGTCTTGTAAAGAATATCTCTATAGGAATTGAAAACAAAACAGTTATTCAATTAACAGAAAACTTGAGACATATAAAAAAGTTTTAATGACACCAGGTTATGATTTTAGAAAGTACTACAGCTAAGCATCAAGATGAAAACAAGATATATTTTCATTAGAGTAGACCCACAGAATCCAATTCTATTGATTTCACTTACCAAAATAAGAAAAAATCTGGATTTCATTCTTAATTACACTAGATAATTAAACATGCTTTTATAAAAGCTATTTAAAACACTGATGGAAATAAATGCTTAATTATGCAAGAATCACACAATTTAATTGTGTTTTAATATTTATTTTATATGAACTATTAATAATACAAAATCTAAAATGTGTGAAGACAAAAAAAATCACCGATCAGTAGAATATGTAGTAGTGATTTTCCTCCTCCTAACAAGATCATTTTTTTCGAGAATTGTATATATATTAAGACATCTAGAATTATAAGAATTGTAATGTTTTCAATTCTAAAGTTAACAAGGGTATGTAGACAGTTCCCATCTGACAGCTCTCACAAGTATATAATTAATAGTGGAAGATGGTTTTGAGTCAATGGGAAAGTTGGTATGAATAACAATGATTACCTAAATAAGAAACGTATGCTTAGGCCTTTAACTGGTTCTTTCCAATATTACATAATAATAAACTATCCAATTAGTTAAGTTCAATTGTAAATCTCATTCACATTCCTGAACTGTTATCAGCAGTTCCCTTTAATGCAATCTTTGTTATGTGATTAAGCATACTGTACATCTTGAGTTTTCCAACCATCCTACTTACATTTAATCCTAGTAATTTCAATACATTTTATTTATTTAGCAATATAAATGTATATGCAGTTTCACCCTAACAAAGGTTTTATCCTGGACGATGCATGGTTTTGTTTTCCTTTATCTTGATTGCAGAAGAAATCTCACCAACAATTTAAAAATTGTTTATTCCATATGTCAGTGGAGATTCTCAGTCATGCAGGTCATGGTTGTCTCAAAGGTGCTTTTTTTCCCAAAAAGCATCATTACATCTTCCATCCACCTTCCAGCCAGACCTAATGAAGTTTCTTGGATGAGAAGCAATATGTCTTATTCTTCCACAAAAGAAAAAAAACATAGTCCAATTGCCTTTTGAAAAAAAAAGCATCTTTGAGACATCGCCTCCATAATTTTAAATATGACATTTTATGAAAAAAATAAACCTACCTTTTTAAAAATTAATGGTTATCAAACTTTTAATATGTAGCAAAGTGAAAAATAGAAGCATATTGTTTCGGATAATCTGGTATCCACCAAATGTGTCAGACTACAATTCTCATCATACCTTGTCAGGATGGAACAGGATTTTGGTGGATAGAGATGGTGGGAAATCTAGTCAAACTAGGAAAGTACACAACTGGGAAAGACTTGACTAAGGGATTTCAACTTCTCGATTGGCCACTACAGGTAGGCTTAAAATGATTGAGTGATATGAGTATCAATCTTGATATTCATATTAAGCTATTATACTCATTAACCACTGAGCTTGTCAGCTGGAAAACTGACAGCCTGGGTTTGAGACCTGAACGCTGCACGAGGGAGTGAGTTCCCATTACTTGTCCCATCTCCTCCCCACCAGCAGTTTGAAAGCATGTAAATGCGAGTAGATAAATAGGTATTACTTTGGTGGGAAGGTAACAATGTTCTGTGTGCCTCAGTGTATAGTCATGCTAGCGACATGACCACAGAAGTGCCTTCGGACAATGCTGGCTTCCTTGGCTAAGAAACAGAGGTGAGCAATACCCCTTAGAGTCCGAATCAACTGGACAGGGGTAACTTTTATCTTTACCTTTAAATAACACAAGAGAATTCTAGCTTCTAATATCTAGTAATTGTAGTTATGCATAAAGAAAGATTATAGCAAATTGGGCCATTTGTCCAACAGCTTAATCTGGATGAAAATAACAGTTTAATCTGGATGAAAATAAAAACTGGAATCAAATCAGAAAATTATCATGAACGTCTTCATGTCCACTAAGAAATTAGTTCCAAAAAACTCAATGAATTTTATTTTAAAAGAAAGACACTGACCTGAGGTAAAAATAGACTGATGGCACTAAACAGAACTGACTGTGGTCACATTGACACATATAAGCTTCTAGATTTCTAGTACTTTTACCAAAATCTAAGACCACAATTTTGGCTTTTTGAACTCCTACGGGTCAATTCTATTGCACATTTTGGGAAATATTCTCGAACTTCAACCTGTTGAGAGTTTCATGATTATTGCTGCTAAAAAACTGAATGAGTAAATAAAATGCATTTATTGGACTCAATTGCCTACAGTTAAAGTTCTTACTACAAAGTCTTGATTCTACTGTCTATGTTATCAGTTGCCATCCCTAAGCATCTGCATGATGAGGCTCGCCTTTTAAACAGTAAATATTTGATTATCTTTCCCTAACACATACTTAGCCACAATTTTCTGTGGTTACTGAAACTTATTTCCAGGTAAAAGGCTTAGAATTGCAGTCTGTAGTAAAGTGCCACCAAAAAAATGTTTATAGATAAATAAGAAGTTTCTCTATAATTTTCTCTCTAGCCAACTTTTATGTTTGTTTCTAAGATGTAACTATGGAATATATGGAATATATGGGAAATCAAATCTCATATATGGGAAATAAACTAGAAACTATGTATTGCTAAAATGGTCAGTGGACATAACCTGCTAAAATGAGGTACTCTTAGGAATTGGGATGCTAGGATTAACCATACCTGGCTGCAAATATTTGAGCAAATTACATTTCTGTATCTCTTTGCTCTTGTTTACTGGTTACCTGGAATTTTTGTAGTTCAGTTTTAATAGACTTAGATGATATTTCAATCTTTGAAATTTCCAGGTAGGGGTTGGCAAGATCCCTGTCAAAAGTACATATATAAAATTATCTAACTATAAGGAAATTACCTATGATCCACACACCTAAGAGTAAACAAAGTAATAGCCAAAAGCCAACATGGGTTTGTCAAAAACAGATCATGCCAGACTAATCTTATTGCATTCTTTGAAAAAGTGACAAAATTAGTGGACCAGAGGAATGCCGTCGATATAGTTAGATAATTTTATATATGTAC